ATCAACACTTCCCATTGTAAGTACACCAGTGCTCTCTCACACCAAGAGTCTTTGCAGTGGATATTTTAGTTTTTCTCCAGTTTTCTTTAGTGATACTGAGCTTAACTGATGTGTAAATGTAGTTTCTAGGTTTCTCCTACAGAAAGCCACTTCAGCTTTCTGGCTTACTCTGAGCCTTGCCACACCCATGCAATGAGAGTGCTACATCTTTGTCAATACTTAGAAGGAAAAGAAATGCACAAAATGTGGGGGGGGGAGTGCAGGCAAGAAGGGGCTTCTGTTATATGCATGTTCAGAAGGGAAATGTACAAAAGGGGGCATTCTGCTACACCCTCTTAGCAAGAAAAGGGAAGCTCAGCCATTCCTTTTGACTGCTCATTACATTCCAGCCTCCACACCATGCTATATGACTTCCTTAGCAAGTATATGAATAGGCCTGTTTTCAAACCCTCCATCTTGCCTGTCATGGCAAATTAGAGTGCAGAGACAAATGGGGACAGAAACTAGATCACAACAGTAGAATTTATCACTGCAAAACGTGCAAACTCACTCAATGAGTGAGTTTAAAGCAGTCTTCAAAAAAGTATGTATAATGGCTGGTTTGTTATCACCAGGGTTGTTATGCCCCTGTTGACTTCCTGAACAGCAGATAACCCTGCAATCAAAGATGTGTTTGCAGCTTCTGCCTACCTATCTGACTTTAGCTAGCTTGGATGCCAATAGCAGTAAAACCAAAGCAACACAAATGTTCACCATGGGTGCAAAAAGGAAATTCTATAAATATTTTAGTAATTGGCCATACTGATTTCTGTGCTGCTGTGTCTCTACAGCTTCCAGTCCCCAAACTAGCGTGAATATCCTGACAGGACATACAATCATGCCTTGGACTGCAAGATAGCCATACTTTCAAGGTATGTGTAAATGTTACATTTAAATCAACCTAATTAGAGTTAGATTGATCTAAATGCTGATCTGTGCAGATGTTCAGGAAGGTTAAATCAGGCAAAAAATGGCCAACCTGATTGATCTAAATTAGTTCATCTGAGAAAGTGAACTAAATTAGATTGGGAACAGGTTAGCCTAATCTACTGAACATCTGCATGCTTAGAACACAGCCCTGGGCTGAGAAAGCCCAGCTGTTTGGCCCAGCCCCAGGGCTATGCTTTCCTATCCCCTCTACCCTGACTAAGCTATCTTTAGCCCCCTGTCCCCACCATTCCTGGATGGACAAACCCCCTGTAGACCTGCCACATCTCCCAATCCTGCCAACCCATTCAGACCCACCAACCCCACTGCAGACCTGCTAGACCTCTCAATCCTGCCTGCTCCTTCCCCACACCCCAGTTTACATGGGTCAGGTTCCCAGCACAGTTCCCACCACTGGCAAACATGTACACAAGCTGCTCCTGATCTTCGATCATGTAGTTTAAAGTAAGATTGTAGATTGGATGCAGCAAACATCTGCACATACCTTCAGGGATGTTATATCTAGGAAAGTTTCCATTTTATATTTTACTAGATTATTCCTAAACTCTTCCACAGATCATGGGAGTGGGATGCCTTTTTTTCCTTTCAATTTCTGGTGACTGAATCCTATGCCTATTGTTGGAAGAGAAACAGGAGATGATGCTTTAAGTCTGGAACTTTTATTTCCATGTACCTGGTGTCTCCTGTTGCAATTAATTTCAAATTAAGCCCAGAACAGTAATTTGCACCAACCTCATTTTAATTCATGCCAACCTCATTGTAATATCAACCTCATTGTAATTCCCCTAGTACCTAAATGCCACAACTCACCCTACAGTGCTTCCACCCTATAGTGTTCACCCACAACTCACCCTATTCGTGCTTCTGTTTTCCATTTTTTGTTTCTATTTTCTTTTGAATCCTGCTTTTTCTTTCCGCTGTCTATATGGATTGCATAGGCACCCTATTCATTTTGAAATTTGGCCCACAATATCTCCCTCCAGAGATGGATTCCCCCATGCTGGCATTTGGATGAAAATGAAAGATACCTTTAGAATTATACTATATATTTAGGGACATCCTGTTTAGTCAAGAAAGATTTATTAAATAGAAGCATTCTTACAGACAATAATAGACTAAAATGAATTATTCCCTTTGGATTTACCTAAGCTATATCTAAAGGCAAGGTATACCAAAGAAATTGCAGAAATACCACACACTTGTGTGTTTTAGCCTAAGCTATATCTAAAGGCAAGGTATACCAAAGAAACTGAAGAAATACCACACACTGGTGTCTTTTATTAATAGCCAAGTTTAGCTGCAGTGATTTTTCTCTCTTAAGCAAAAACCTTGTGGAGAGTCTTCAGCTGGAACTCCCTCTCTCTCTTTCTGAACAAAACTCAAATACACTTTCCCCCCTCATCTGAGTCCCTTTTTTGACCAAACCAACTGTTTTGATTTCCCAGTCAAACCTGTCCCCACTCTGTATTTACGTTTTCTTTCATCTTGGGTGCATAGGCAAGGAACATACTATGTATATTGGATTGTATATTGAAGTTGTCCAGTTCTTTATCATATGCATATTTGCTTTTGCACTTCTTTACCTTTGATATCAGATTAGTGAAACTACATTAATTATGCATTCCTCTAGTCTAGGAGTGGTCATTGTCACTGTGTTCAGCAGTTGATTGCCCTGCCTTTCTACATTCAATAGAGATGTTAGTCCAAACTCTTCCACGAAGGACAATTGAAAAAATGTTCCCTGCAAGAATTCAGATAAGATGGTACTTTATAAAGCCATGAGATTATTGTGTTACAGGACAAATCTCTCACAATGTTTCATACTATTTTTTATCAAAGTCACTCTGTCTTTGACCTTTTAATTCTTCTTTCTTGAGCAGCCTTTGAAAATACTGCATAGCTTATTACTCTGCTGGCTGAATATGATTAACTGTAACCCAAATGGAATACTTTGGATAGCTTATAACTCTACTGGCTGAATATGATTAACTGTAATGCAAATGGAATACCCAGTTGCACTCATGTACACTTTCTTTCACTTCACTACTGAAACGAGGCACCAGCGTACATGTTGTGGTGTTCTCTACTACACCATTATATTTAAGTATCTTAGCTTCCTTTGCATATTCTAGAAAAGAAGTAGGTGGTTCCACACGTGAGTTGAAAGGGTTGTCCCTGTTATGAAGAGTGAACATATGTAAACAGCTTTTCCAGACAATTTTATGTTGGGAGTGGGGGAGGCGGAAACATGGGGGAAGATATCTAGATGCGAATGTCAATGCAATACTCACTGAACTGGTGACAGATAAAAATTTTCAAGTTTTGCAACTGATTTTAATAAAAAACTTAATGGAGAATTTTCATTTTAAAGACAGTATAAAGAGGACAGACTGACTGGAAGCCAGTAAAGGGTATTAAAAATAATACTGCCTTAGTATAAGAATAAGAAAGAAAGCTGGCACGTTACTGGTGAAGGTAAGGTCAAACTTTCAGTGTAGTTTGATGAGTATTTAAAGAATAGAGAAAAAACAAGACAAAATTAGCTTCAGTGAAGAGAATAGAATCATATGATTTAGAATTAACCTAAATATAAATGTAAATTATAGTTCATATTAATCTGGATCAGTTAAAATATAAATTGGATCTTGGAAAATAGAGATGGGAAAAGGAATCAAATATTTGTGTGTGGGAAAATATAATGAAGAACATATAATGTATATATAATGTATATATTTAGCTCCTTGCCAGTAAGAATTTGGAAAGTATAGTTTTCAAAATGAATGTGATACTTTAAGGCAAGCAGAAAGATAAACAGAACAAACCCTGAAACTATTACAAAGAAGTTATAGTTCCCTACAGAAAGGTTATAGATTTCCACGGTTTAAGGAATTTTTATCCTTCTTCATGTGATATTCACCCTTATATTAGAGAACAATTGGGAATAGAAAGATAACAGGATACATTCATATAGGGAAGGATGTCTTAGCCCTGTATCCTTTCAGCTATGATAAACAGTCAGTCTACTTGCCTTTAAGTATCTTCAGATTCTAACAAAGCATTGAAGAAAACCTGGATAACAGTGCTGAAGAAACTAGGCTTTGTTCTTAGTGGGAAATCTGGTATTTAGAAGTAGGTTCAAGAGGGATTTTCTCATTGTAGCAGTTATATCTTCTTACAAAAAAGTAGCACTGCAAAGAAGGAAAATTACTGGCAATATTTGCAGCCAAACTACATCCCCAGATAAGTTTGCAATATTAAAAATCAGAAGGTTTATTCTAAACAAAGACTTTGCTGGATATAAATGTAAGCCCTGCACAATATATAATTTATTGTTGACTGCTACCTAGTGTTCTTTGGGATAAAATAATACATAACTCATAAAGCAAGGACCTGAACTTTGTGATTGATAAAGGAGGAAACAAAGTTAACAGTAATATTAAATCATCTATGATGGACCTAAAATAATGGTTCCCCTTAGTAGAAAGTGCTTTTTAGAACATGGTGGGTTTACATCTAAGATGGATGAAGCTCAGACTGATACACTTAATAGCAAGTGCTTGAATTATGGAAGCTCTGACCAGTTTATACATGTTTTAGGCCAGAGATGCATAAGTTTTGAGACACAGAAGTGGGCCCAACTAATATGGGATTTAAAAGTGCTGATCCACAACAACCAAGCGCAATTAATAAAAGCAGTAGGTTGTCCCCTCCCCAATTTAAAGTTAGGCCAGGTTGTTTTAAAATAAAACCCTCAGAAATGAAACTAGGAGACCACATTTATGTAGTTAAAGTTCCTTCTGAACCAAGAAGAGTTCTGAGAAAACAGAATTTCCCAGAACCAGCTGAAGTCAGAGGGACTTGCTATGGATTCCAGTCAGACTGGGACCAGAATCCTACATAGCAAATACACACTTTGGTCTTGACACATTTGTAATGTGAGTGCTTAGTAATTCCTTGTGTGTGACACGCAGGAGGTAAAGCATTCTACATTTCCATCAACCAAACCCCCCCCCCCCACAAAAAAAAAAAAAAAAAAAAGCATACTTGTGAGAGTCATCTAAAACAGAGAAGCCTTCAAAATAGAAGCTACTGAATGGCATTGTCAAATCAGTCCTGAGGCCGCTGCGATCACTGGTGCTATAATAACCCTCCTCCACTGTACCCTGTTTGGCTGAGGTTACTTGAGTTGCTTTGCATCATTGGTGATTCTTCAGGCAGTGTGACCTGGTGGTGTTCATCTCCTCTCCGGGTATGGAAGGCTGTTGGCTCTTACGGAGCTCATCTGCCTCTGAATGACATAGCACTGTACAAATCCTTGTGAGCTCAGGCTCAGAAATACTAAACATTGACTAAATATTGCAGAAAATTTGTGTGTGTATGTGATTTTCTCATACTGAGTGCTTTTATACTAACGTATCTTCCACAGGACAATGAAGGCAGCGTTTTTTCTAGGGTTAGGTCTGCAACTCAGTTTCCACTATTATCCTTGGGAAGTCTACAAAAGAACATTAGCCTGAAAATAGCTGGCCAAGGAAAAATATTTTCACTACATTTCAACTATAGTTCTTAAAAAATCAATAGCATGAAATGGTCCTACATTAGGCCAAAACACCATTAGAGTCCTTTCAGGTGCCTATGCCACTGTTTTTGAGCTATGTTTCTCAATTTTTTCTGGGAGTCGTATGCTCCTCGAGATTGAGGACTAAAAACTATCGCTGCTCACAATATATTCTGTCTCCAATTCAGCTCACAAGACAGAATCTCCATCTTGTTATGTTGCTAAACTAGATTACAGTACAAAAATACTCCCACCTGAAAGGAGGACATAAGCTTTGCAAAATCCTAAAAAGAGAGTTCTGGGAATGGAGGAAATAATACCTCTTATACTGCTTTTTCATCCATGGTGATCGAAGTGCTGTACAAAGGGGGTTAGTATCATCCCCCCCTCTATGTTGTGGATGCATAGAGAAGTAAAATGACTTGCCCAGGACTACTTGACAGTCTAGTGGTAAAACCAGGAACAGAATCAAGTCCTCTATTCAGTGTGATATGCTGCCCTGTGGCTATTTACTACAGAAAATGACTGATGTCCAGTGTCAGGTAAATCATGTCCTTTTAAATCTGCATGAGCTAATTAAAGGAAAAAGAATATATGGAAGAGAGAGAAATCAGTAGGATCTTTTCTCATGAGAAACCTGTTGCAAATTATGTACCCTGTCAGTAGTCTAACATCAGAGGTAAGATGTATAATTAAATAAATGGAGAGAAAACTACTCAATATTAAATTATATAACATAAACATATTCTATATTACTATATTTTTGTACTGCAAGAAAAGAAAAAGAAAGCTGTACAAAACAGCATGTTCATTTGCTAGTCTTCTGAACTTCATTCACTTCCTGAAAGGTGATTCCATCATACTGAAACATTGTTTTTGTTCTGTTCTTCTCCTCAGTAAAAGTCCAGGAGTTTAAGCCACTATCAACATATAGTATGACATGCATACCTCCGGGCTGCAAACCTTGTTCTAAACCTCCGAGCACTCCCACCTTCTCACCCATATCATATCTAAGTGTGCCCAGACATCCTCCACTGGCTCAGGAGGAGGTGGGGCATTTGAGAGATCCTCTATTGGGTCCTTTGAATCACATCTGCCACCCCCACTCTCTGACTCCATAAATTCAGGAAAAGGGGAAGCATTTGAGGGACAATTTGTGTCCCCTGAATCACATCCACCTCCCTCACTCTCTGACTTCAGAGGCTCAGGAGGGTAAGCACTTGAGGGATTCTCTAATGGGTCCCCTGAATCACATTCACCGCCCTTACTTTCCAGTTTCACAGTTTCAGGAGGAGCATGTGAATCACCATCACTAGGGGCTCACTTTTTGTTCTCAACAGACATTTAGCTTTTACAAGTCATTTTTAACCAGGCCCGACTTTTTGTCTTGCAAGCTGCTTACTCCTGAGTTTACCGCCAACTCTCCGTATAAAATATGTCCTTTTGCTCAAACAATAACCATGATCTTTCAAAACACTCTGAATACACTGTCTGCAATGTGTATGTCTGCCCACACCTCCAAAGATCCCCTCTTTTTGTTGGCACAATAATCATGGTCTTTCAAATCATGCTGCACTCTCTTTCTTTAATGTGTAAATCTGCCTGCACCGCCCAAAGATCCCCTCTTGTTGTTTTCACAATAATCATCTTTCAAAACCAGGTGAAAAATCTCCTTCTGAGACTTCTCTAAATTATGTGTGCAACCAGTCCTGGGTTTCTTATTCATAGGCCCCAAAGCACGAGCTTTGAAACAGTGAATTCTTGTGTTTTACACATGGTTCTCTCAGGGTTTGGTGGTGTCTTTTCTGTTTTTTCACCATGTCCTTCTTCTCTGTCTTTCTGGCATCCTGATCTTCAGGGTTCTGATCCTTAGGATGAGCATTTCTGTGGTTTTGAGTTAGTGCTGTTAGAGGGCTTTGGTCCAGTTCCTGTCCCTCTGGCATTTCTAGGAATTGATTCTCTGAAGCATCTCTTCCTTCTTTGGAGGTATTGAGTGAGATCACTTAGGATATATAAAATTTACATGTCAGCATCAAGAATTCACTTTCCACAAAATGAAAGGTGAACTTCCTATAAATGCTACAAGTCTGAAAGAGACCCAATGCTTTAAAAAGCTCTTAGCAAAATTAAACCCCACAACCACGCACCCCAAACTACATGTTAACAGACATGGAGGAGCACATGCTCAAAGCACACCCAGCATTTCAAAAGTTTGATTTTAGAAAATGAACACACAGAAACACACACACACACTCTTTCAAAAGCTTGATTCTAAAAATGTACCTTTCACTACAGGGTAACGACATGGAGGTGCATGTTTGTTCTGATTTTCCTTTTTGGGAGAAGGGTTTCTGTTTGGGGACAAATGGTTACAACCAGTATTATGACTTAATGTAGTTATATTAACACAGTCACAGATACCCTTCCATTTTAAATTAATTTTTACCTTTCTGTAGTAAAATTGCACATGGTAATCATGATTTTCCTGGCTACATTTTTCCCTGGAGCAGGAATTTATAATTTTTGTTCCAATTAAATGTTCAGTGTAGGGTACCAGAGGCTTATCCTCTTCATGGATCACTCCATATGAAGCAAAATTTGGGTCTTCAGCAAAATGAATAGCATTTATAATCACTATGCCCTCAGTTAAATGTTTCTCAGTGAGGCGTAGACAATTCATATAATTCCCAACCACAATAACAATATTTTAAATACTTTCCACATACAGCTCAGTATAAAGTTCCCAAATTATCCCATTTATATCCTTATGTCCGGTTCACAGACTCATGGCTTCCTTGCCCTGGTGCAGTTAGGAGACAGCCCATGTAGTCTTCCAAAAGTCTGTCTCTCAAGCAATATTTCAGTATGTCATAACAACAAACACACATAGGAGCTTTCATGAGGCTTTTACGTACTTGACTCAAAACAGGGCCTGTTCATTCTATTCCTTGCTGTCTTCTAAAAGCCAAAGAATCATTAGCTTCACCTGAAACACTGGGCCTCTGTTCATCACAAAAAACGTTTCTTTTTTCCGATACCAGGGTTACAGGTCTGCTGATAATGCTCTTTTTTCTGGCGTCATTAGAAAGGCTTAATCTAGCTGCAGAGCAATTTCAAAGGAAAAACTCTAGCTAGCCACTGTTTAACAAGTTCATAGCTAATTCTTACCCCATCAGGATCCCACACAAAACCCCCACCACCAACTCCCCTAAGGGCCCCACATCCACGTTTCAAACCACTCATCAGTGCCTCTGCTCCCTTGTAGATGTCTTCTTCCTGCACAGGGTCCAGCATGAGGCAGCCTCTTCTCTAGAATACTGGGTGTCTGCTCTGGGAGTCTGGGCATCAGGCTCACCAGCCTGCTGCACGCTTGCATGGGCCTTCTGCCCTGGTCCAGGCATCTTGGGCAACCCTTGGGCTAGGGCAGGCGTTGTGAACCAGGAGTATGTGTACCCCTGGGGGTACTTGAGAAGGCCCTGGGGGGTATGCATGGGCAGGTGGGGACAGAGTAGTGCTACGCACCATCCCACACTGCTGTGCAGGCGCCGCCTGCTCAGCTGGACGCAGGGCAGGGCAGGGGAAGCTTGCACACAGTGGCCACCGCTGCTCTGTGTTCAGCCACATGCCCCCCACCTCCACTGCACTGCCAGCATTGCCCTGCATGTGCCAGGGCCGGGCCAGTCAGGGGCTGCCTGGTGCAGCACATCATGGGCTCCTCGCGGGTTGCATATGCCCTACATGTCCAGGCTGCTTTGCTGTGGTCTGCGAGGAAAAAGTGGGACTCTGCTCACAGTAGCAAAACCGGAAGTGCCACGGTGGGACTCTGGTTTTGCTTTTGCCACATCGATCGGCTGGGGGTACTACATAAGGTACCAAAGGTTGAGAACCACTAGACTAGATGACCCCCCCCAGCCTTCTAGCCCTAATCCTGAGGGTGGCCTGGAGAGGGTCTCAGGCCCCAGGATCGGAATCACTGGCGTGACTGGGTGGGAGAGAGGGAAGTGGGGGGGGTGGCTCACACTGGGGACAGGGGTGCTGTGAGGGGGCCACAGCAGTGAGGAAACTGGAGGCTGAGGTGGCTGATGGGCGGGAAACGCCAGCAGTGGCAGTGGGCGCTGAGGTGCCGCCCAGGGGACTCCCCGAGGGCTTGCGGGAGGGGGGATGGGTCGCCTCCCAAAGAGAAAGCCGAGACGCGCGCTGGACACCCGCCCGCCGGTACCTGCCCCCGCTCCCCCGGCTGCGGGGCGCTCGAGGGGGGAGGTGTGCGCGCGTGCATGCGCGCGTGTCCCTGCATGGCTGCTTTGTTCCCGGCCGCGTGGCGCCGGCTGCCCACACTTTGCTTCTTGCGAGACCGGGGGTGGGGATGGCGGGAGCCCGGGCTCCGGTGCCGCGATCCCGGGCTGGGGCCTGCTGGCAGCCGGGGCCGGGGATGCAGGCAGCGGTGGATCCGCCGGTTTCGCCCCCTCCGCTTTGGTTTTTCTTCTTCGGCCAAGTTTGCCGCGACCGCGGAAGAAGTTTGCAGATCGGGGCCGCGGGGCGGGAGCGGCGCACGTGCTGCTGGAGCGGCCGCCCCTGGTGCCACGCGACGCGGAGCGGGAGGCTGGGGCCCATCCCCATCCCCTTGCCTGTCCCGCCGCCTCGCTCTTCTGGCCTCTGCGGAGGCGCTTTCTGTGTCCCAGGCCCTGCCTTCTCCTCCTCTTCCGCTTTCCCCGTTAGGTGCTGACTCGCATGAACTTTCTCTTTGCTGGGGAAAGAGGATGCAGGGCCTTCGGAGAGCCCCACTGCCTTCCCTTCCTGGAGGACAGACTGCCCCTCACCTCTTCCTTTACACAAACCCCAGGCCTGGCCCCACCACATCCCGGGACCTTTTGGTCAACCTCTTCCTGGCCCTGGCCAAGCTGGTCTGTCTCTGACCAGGAAGGAGGCCCCCCAGGACTCTGGAGCTGCTTTCCCTGCCCGGCTTTGTTTCCATCTAGGGGCAGAGTATCACTGAGCAGTGTCCTCTGGCTCCCTGGACTCACTTCAGGGCCCGTGAGTGCTGGCTTGTGTGCTCAGCTGGGTGCCACCTGTTGGCACTCTTGTTAGGAACCTTTGATCTCCACTCCTGCCTGTTTTCATTATTATTTGTCCCAAGTAACCAGTAACACTTCACCAGCAGCCCCTAGTACTAAAAGAGAGCTTACAGTTCACCTGCCAGGCCTGGGCCCATGAAATCCCCTGACCCATGTGTTAAAAATCCTGTGTGATCCTATTGCCAGGCAGGGTATCACTGAGCAGTGTCTGTTGGCTCCTTAGACTTATTTAAGGGCCGGTGTGTTCTGCTTGGTTGGCACTCTTGTTATGAACCTCTGACAGGTACTCCCGTCTCTGTTTTTTTAATTATTTGTCATCGGTAATCACTTATCATCTTTTTTGTAGCCTCCCCACCTGAGGGAGACCAACAGGTTACTTGGTGGGCCCAGGGCCATGTCCCTCAAGGTGACAAATAGGCCTGAAGGAGAGAGACCAGGCCTGTTTTTTTCTTTCTTGCCACTGCTTTTGCCTTCATGTTGTTCTTTGCACCCTCACAAAGTTCCTGTCAGCATGTTGTGAGGAGCCTGTCCTTTGCTGAGATATAAAGTTGCTCAGAGGTGAGGTATAAGGCCTAGCTTTTGTAGCTTTAGTGAGTTTTTGACACCGGAAGGGAAAGAAAACAAGGGCCCTTTGCTGCTTGGCCACCTGACTTTTCTATGTTTGTCTGCACAGTGTTGCTGCTTTTAGGGGAAACAGAAAAAGTTATACTCTTAGGAGCACCTCTGAGCACCTGCATATGTATCTGGGGGCTTCCTATAAGAAGACTGAATCCAGGTATCATCCAAACCCTGCTCAGCACGGTGGGATTCTTCCTGACCTGCCCCGACACCCTTTTTGCTGTCTCTTTGCTGATCCTTACATAAGGTCTGAGAAAAGGGTGCTTGTGGACAGGCTTGAGCAACCTTATCATGCCTCCCTCCTGCATTCATGACCGGAAAGTGTTTTCAAGGCTCTGAAGATAAGGAGCGTTCGCAATTCTGCATTCTAAATGAAGTGTGGTATTTTTTAGCCTTACAGTTACAGTATCTTTGCACTGTAAATTTTGATTCAGGAACAACCTGCAAAGAATTTTAAAATGAAATTTGGGTTTGTGCCCTACTTGCAGGCTGCATTGTTGTATAAAGAGGGCCAGGGAGAAATTTTGTAAAAAGATTAAATTAAGTACATAAGTATAATCATAGCATTAGAAATTCATATCCTGCCTTGCATGGAAGCATGACTGGGGAATAAGCTAAATTAACATCTCACAGGAACGAAGAGAATGAAAGTTGAACAATGTAAGAAATTTTCAGTCGGATGGCTTTAAGCAGCATATTTCTGGCATTTAGAGCCAAGGTATTAAAACCAGAGGAAGGCTATTTTTATAATTAAGTTTTAAAATTGGGGTCCAACTCTTCTGGCTACATGGGGTCAGACCTGGTGCTGCACGCAGCACAGGTAGTTCAGGCCATGGGCTGCATGTTGTGACCCACTGGACTGGCCCTGGCCCCGCGCTGCCCAGGTGTGTCAGAAGCAGTGTGCAGTGCCAGTCTGGCCCAGCACTGCACGCAGTCCGCGCTGTGGACCCCCTGTACTGTGTGCAGGACCAAGTCCAGCTTTTGTGGCACATGCAGCACAAGCTCCATGCTAGCTCTGTGTGCCATGCGTACAGCGAGCCCTACGACTGGCGCACGCTGCATGCAGCAAAGGGGGGCCGGCATGGTGTGTGTGCTGCATGCAGGGCTGGAGTTGATGCATGCCCCATGTGGTATGCGGGGTCTGTCCAGAGACCTGTGGATTGGATCATACACCTCCATTGACCAGATCTGGCCCACTGGTCCCATGTTTGAAAACCCTCTTTTAAAGTCTACATTTGGGTTCACAAATTCAAAAGTTTTGATTGAGGCTCCAAAAGTCCCACTCCTGGTACAGTCAGGAGTGCAAATATGTTTTCAATCAGTTGGCTGGCATTAAATATCTTTTGCTATAATACCTGCAAATATGTGAGCGACACAATAGACAGCTTAATTTCTCTTTACCCTCTCTAAATCTACTAAACAGATGCAATACATACAACACATACTGATAGAGCAAAGTGAAAGCTTCTCTTCATGCTGACAGGTTGCTTTAAACAGTTCTTGTTGTGGTGAGTATTCAGATCTAGACACCCCTGAGACTTACCAGCAAGGGAGTTGTTAATATGTGGACATTAGGCCTGTGTGAATAGGGAAGTATTTGATTTGGATTCGGCGGATTCGGTGGACAGTGATTCAATTTGGAGATTAGGATCACTGTCCCGAATCGATTTGGCCGAATAGCTTTGGAAGATTCGGCGTTGATTCGGAGAGATTCGGTGATTTAGATTGGCCGGGGAGAGGCAGGCACAGCCGGGCAGCTACAGGTTCTCCCACAGTGTGTCAGGCTGTGCCTGCCTCCCCCCAGGCAGGGGGAGCCGCGGGAGAAGCCCGTATGGCTGCTCTGCCCAGTCCTATCCCCTGCCTGGTCCCCGCACTTTAAAAAAAAAAAAAAAAAAAAAAAAAAAAAAAGCCCTGCAGTCACTGGCTGCAGCAGCAGCAATTGGGGTCTCTGGGCACTTGTGCCAGAGCCCACCCCCCATGCAGCACATGGACAGTGGGGGAAGTAGGGATCACCCCCACAACCTGGCACCCATGCGGCAGCTGCCCCATGGCATGGGTGCAGTACAGCTCCCCAGGGCATCATGTTCCGTCTGGGAGCTGGGACCTCAAGGGCTCAGCAGTGCTGGGCTCTGGCTGACACATGGAGCCACTCTGGCTCCCAGGGCAATCAAACCAGGAGCTGGGGAATCAAACAGGACTGGGGAATTGAACTGGGGGCAGGGGAATCAAACATAGAGCTGGAGAATCAAACTGGTATAGCTGCCATGCCCACCCCACCCCAACTGGGCAGCTTGTCCGAGCCCTAATCCCTCCTCCCCCCAATCCTAACAGATTTACCAGCTGGAGTCAGCTGTCAGCTGCCTGTTTAGTCTATGGCCAAGTCTCTGAATCAGACAAATCTTTTCCCGAAGCTTTTCCGAATTGATTCGGATGCCTGGAATCGATTTGGAGCTTTTACTTGGTCTCCCAATTCGATTCTGATTTGGAGATTCTGTCCCCAAATCAGGCCAAATCTCCTCTGAATCGAATCAGCTACCAAAGCTTCGTGCAGCCCTAGTGGACATGTATATACCAGGGCTGGCCAATTGGTAGCCCACAAGGGGTTAGCATGTGGCCTGTGGGCTCTGGCCACAGGTCTTCTCATTGCTTCTGCTGCTATAGCAGCCAGGGGCTCTGGGTTTCTCCTCTCTTCTGACTCCTGCTTCCCTGGGGACAGCCTGGCACTGTTGGAATGGGCCCAGGAAGGGGTCTGTGATGCCCATGCTGCCTGCACAGTTGGCGTGTGGCCTGGGGGTCTGCTGCCTGTGGGGGTGCAGCTTTCACACTGCCCAGAAGTTGATCAGCCCCGTACTAGACTTTGGGATGAGACCACCAGATCATTCCTTCCAAGCTTGTCTGATAATAAACTTTCAATTACTGCTGAGAAGGCATGTTTCTGAACCCTTGACAGAGGCAAAATGTATTTTTTAACAAGAAGAACCACATAAATCTAGTGGAAAGAACTTAGATGGACAACAGTGTGGCTGAGACCAGGATTTTATTCCTTGTATCCTGAGCCATCTAGTACCTTTAATGAAAGAAGAGAAAACAGAGCAAATCATGTGACCATTTATAAACCCATGTTAATAAAATAAAGAATGGCAGTTTTAACTAGACTATACAAATAAATGGAATAGGATCTTAAATTCCTAGGTGAGTTACTAATACTACCAAGTTGCCACAGCAATGACATATGTAGAGGGGTCTCATTTTTTTACACATGGCTGAAAAACCAGTTTTGCTGCATATACTTATATAAAGAAACCTAATGTCTTGTGCTAGTTTCAGAAATATGTTAGATTGAAAAAGTTTGGCATTATCGACTGTGAGCTGAAACCTGTCTGTACTTATATTTAGGGGTCTATCACGGTTAGGCTTACAATTTTGGGTTTGTTGTGGCATAAAGAACAAATTCTACAGACGTTTTGTGAATGTTCTCTGGTAGTCCTACCCCTTGGTACTAATTGGTGGACAGGCCCAGGGAGCGGGGGAGAGGGATATGGGGATGGTGGCCATTTTTTTTGCAGCCCTTCATGCTGCCCTGCCAGTCAGTGCCTTCCCCTCCCAGGGGGGCTGCAAGGCTGGGCCACAGCAGAAGCCACGACCACTGGTTCCCACTGAAGAGGCAGCATTTTATTTTTATTAAGGTTATTTTTTTGTTCATTTTTCAGACAATTCCCGATTTCACAGTTTCTGCAAAACCACAATATATGTAGATACCTACTTATAGTCATGTACAATGCTTTTGACAACAAGGTGTTGTTCTTACCGAAGGCAGGGTTTCAACCATAAAAGATAGTATCAGACTAGGCCTCTCACGTGCCTCTGGTGTACTTTGCTGCACCAGTCACGTGCATTTAGCTTCCTCTGTTTACATAGACCCTTGATTCTCAAACAAGGTGCTATGGTATTTTGGGGTTCCTTGAGATCCATCCAAGGGTGCTGTTAGGTGTCACACAGCATTAGCATTGTTAGGTGTGCAATTTACAAGGTAAATTCAGAGATTTCAAATAAGAATCCATAGTGTTAAAAAAATTCTGACCTGTTAATGGTCTTTCTGAGTTCTTTGCAAGAGAAGTGCTTTATTTTTCTTCTGTAGTAAAAAAAAAGAGTGAAACTTTTTCTGGCATTTTCAGAGGAGTGTTTTGAGCCTAATAAGGTTGAGAAACAGTGGTGGTAGCCCCCTAACAACAAAAGAAGTCAAGGATACATGTTATAAGAGAGGGAGCAATTCAGTAACACCTGAAGGATAGTGTAGTGAAACTACTATACTATAGTAACTACAGCTAGTATAGAATCTGCTATGGTCTAGTAGTAGTGAAACTTTTTTTTAATGCAACATTTTTCAATGTCCCATCCTTTTAAATATCCATCTGTCAGTATAATCATAGACGTGTTCTGTGCTAAATCAGTTGGTTCATCTAACGGCCACTGTAATTATGTTTATTGATACTCTTTTCTCCAAATAGATCAACAGGGTGAGTGAAGGGTTGTGGTTGCATAGTTGGTGTATTTATGAAGATTTACAACAAAACTTAATGAAAATAACTATGCAGGTTTATTTTTTGTCATTTAAAAAATTCTCATTAACATTTAGGGAAATAGTATGGAAACCAAGGCTGTGGCTACATTGATGGTTAGGGTTGATTTTAAGTTTGTCCTCAAGTTCATATTTGCAGAACTTTGGCACTGTAAACCCAATAGGTTTACTGAGTAGCTTCCATTAGCTGGGGAGGACTTTGAAACTGGGTCTTTTTCATTTTCCAAATAAGTTTGGTAAGCACTAAGCCAGTGATCCTTGACCAGGGTAACACAGCACCCTGGGGTGCCTTGAGATCCTTTTAAAGGTGCTGTACAATACTAGGTGTGCAGACACCTACACATGCCTCAGAAGAAAAATCCAGAGTTTTCACATGGAAATCCATAGTGTTACAATATTCTGACCTGCTGTTATCTTTCTTAGTTTTTTGCAATAGAAAAATTGCTGTTATTTTTTTGTAGTTAAAAATGAGTGAAAACAGAGCTGGCATTTTTCAAGAGTAGAGAACCACCACTGATCTAGACTATTCATATTCCCCAGCTCTGAATAACACAAGAACAAACTGGCAAATAACTTGTTATTGTGCGTAATGTAAGTGGAGAAGACTCCTAAGACAGCCAGATTTAGTGCTGAAAGTGGGTGGGTGGGGGGACAGATGGATGGATGGATTTTTGGCTTCCTGTTTTGTGGTAAATACATTTATTGGCTAAAGACACAAGCAGGGTAATGGTGCTTTTAAATAGAAATAGCTTTTAAAGCAATTTCTAATGCTTTTGCCAGAGGTAAGTTGTTACATTTGTGAATTGAAGACAATCCTTGAAGATTAATGTCTGTTCACCTGAGTAAAGGCAACTCAGTGCAACTGAGCTTGTGGACTGGAACAGGTGATGATTAAAATGAAATTTCTGCTTTTGGTCTGTTCCCCTTGTTCTTGCCAGTGGAAATATTTATGTTTGTTGTTAGTCCAGAAATGATGCAAGGTAGTATGATCATGATATGGTTTGCTTTATTTCAAATGCAAAATACGCCGTTATGCTGCCTGTTTTCTAGTGTGTCCGACAACAGTTTATCTACAATGGTGTTGTTTTTGTTGCTGCCTTTTTATAGTTGTTTTAATCTGTAAGAGCAAGCTTATGCTGGGAAGGTATTTATGATGTTAATTGTCTTAGTTGTTAAAGTTGCATGGAGATGATACTGTTGGATGGCATTTGGATAAGCCCTCTCATAAACAAACTGAGTCTGTAAATAGTTTGCATCATGAAATAGTAGCAGGAGATTGTGCTGATATCACCTCAAGAATTACATTTCTTTGTGTACATTAGTAAAATCCTTTTCTTAATGTCTGGGAGGTTGCAAAATAGGTCTCACTATCTATTGTAAGGCTTTGGGTTTTGTTTTGGTTTTTCTACATTTTATGCTTTAAAGATAATGCAAGTATTCTAAATTTATTTTATTATAAATTCTTTGCTATGGTAAATAGTTTGCCAAATGCTTTCTTTATGTTGCCACTTTCTGTCCTAAATTATTCTCCATTGTTAAATCTGAGCATTTTAAAGGTACTGATTCCTCACTATTTTAAGGAAAAGGTGATGGTAGTTTAAAACAATCTAACAAACAAGCCTCTCTAAGCAAACTAATGTTACCCTGTGTTAAGGCAAACTCACACAGCATTTTTGCATTTTATTCTCTAATATGCCCAAAACTTATCATATTTAATTGAACCCATGACAACCCTGAATTTAAGATGACCCCCCACCTAATAGTTAGATTCTATACATGGCAAATGTAGGCATCTGTTATAACTTTTCACGTACAGAATCTGATTGTTGGAGATTTGTCTTAAATTTGTCCCCACCACTGCAGCAGGGAAAGCAGTGTCAGGGGAGTAGGCAGTGAGGGGCATGCAGTAGGGCAGGAAGGGGGGGGGGGAGGGGCAGTGATATGCCTGTGCCCTTCCTCCCTCACCCCTAAACCCCTGCTCCCCAGCCCTGCCAGTGCCTCTCACTCCTGACCCGAAGAATCCCACCCCCCCAGCCCTGCCAGTGCCCCGCACTCCTGACCTGCAGTCCCCCACCCCCTAGCCCTGCCAGTGCCCTTCACTCCCAACCCGTAGCACTCTGACCCCAAACCGTGCTGCTCACACAGCTCCAGTGTTCATGCGCGCGCGCACACCCCCCCCCCCAGACCACATGACCCCTGACAGCCAATCGCCTTGCCTGCTGCTCCCAGCCCCAAGCAGCCAGCCGGGAAAAGCGGAGGCAAAGCAAAAACCTAGACATTTACTCGCATTTTAAAAACCTGCCTGGACACAAGGAGAGGGGGCCAAGAAGAAGGACATGTCTGAGAAAACCCGGACGCATGGTAACCCTAGGTAGGAAGGGGGCCAGGAACCAGGCTGTGGGTGAGGGGAGAGGCAGGGGATTCAGAGGGGCAGGCAACAGCTACTTGCTACCTTGTACTTGATTCCAACATGAATCCAACATTCCAACCCCTGCCCAGGTTAAATGGGGAAAAAGGGAATTAAGGAACTATGGTACACTGGGTAATAAATTCTAACTTGTGCAGCAAAGGAAAAGCTGTGCAGCTTCAGGACTTTGGGTTTATTTTCAGAATTTAGAAATCAAGGTTTCCTGATTTCTCTGTTTCTGCTCTGTCTACATAATAGCTACAAAAGAGATATTGATGCTTCTGCTCTTTTTGGAGGTACAGCGTGTGTGATAAGGTTTTTAAGGCCTATTCAAATTGCCACACCTCATTTGAGACTGCCAGCAAACTCTTCCACAGTAGAGATAATATCAGCTTGAAACAAACTAAAAAGTTAGATGTGCTTTTTTATGCATGCGTGGAGTTTTGTCTCTTATGGTTTCTAATGTTTATTGGAAAATAATTGAACCTATTTTCTTGAAGGACACAATCGCCTTAAAATCTTATTTCGCTGTATTCCAGTTGAGAAGATTTTGTTGTTGTTGCTACTATCACTACTAAAAGCTTTCAGTTTTACTTTTCATTTTGTTGTAGTGTCCCAAATCAGATACCAACTAAATCATGATTATAGATTGCTTTTTACTTTTATCTCAGGATGGACAATGAACACTACATATTGACCTTCATTTTTCTTGAACTTTCAGAGTGAATATTAATTTCTATTGTTACTAAATGTAAGCTATGAGAACATGTCAACTGTATTTGAGGTGTGGTAAATGCTTTGCACCCAGATAAATTGAGTGTCCTTTGGATTTTTTTTGTACTGTTATTTGAAGAAAATATCTTTATGTTCAAAAAACAATTACTTGGTGTATAGATTTAATTTGGAATAATAAAAATGCACTTTTCCAGCACTTTTTGTGTAGCATAGTAAAATTATACAATAACAAAAGAATTCATGTGAGAGATAATCCAACATCATCATTTCTTCCTTTTTTTGCCCCAGATTAATGGAGATGGGTTGAAATAAATGTTGCACCTCCTAAACAGTATTGGTACTATAATAAAGGACAAGCTGTGAGGGTGACCCAAGGCAATGCAAGAAGCCTGGCACAGCTACTGCTTAAAACTTTCACTTGTAAATATTTTTTGATCCAGTAATCACCATGCATAGACGTAATTCTTAAATTTAGTCTGCAAATACGCATTTGATCTTTTTATTTTTATTTATTTCATTTTTAAATTTGCCTCTTAAATTTCCTTGTTCTTTTTATCTTAATTATCTCTTTGACTTCCTTCTCCTTTTTTTCTTTCCAGTGAAAGCTGGTGGGATGAGGATTGTGCAGAAACACCCTCACACTTCCGATTCCAAAGAGGACAAAGATAAGGATGACCAGGATTGGGAAACCACCAGGTGAGCATTCTGAGGAGGTGCATGGGATCTTGCATGTAGTGGGCACATCTATACCTGCACCCGACTGCAAAGTTTTTACTGTACAGACATTTAGTACTTGCTTTAGCACAGCACTGTGCAGCAATTGTTGGTACTCCGCAGTCCTGGTGTGATACAGGTCATTTCCAACCCTACTGCGCAGTATCTTGTTGCTACTGAGCAGTAGCGGCGGCATCACAGTTTGAGCCTCTACGTCACTAGAAACGAGCTGCGTCGCCGTAGCGTGTCACTACAGCAACATAGCGTCTTATGTAGACATGTCCAGCATGTAGCTACTTGGTATCACTTTGAATGTTAACATAATTTTAGGATACAGTGGAGTTTAAACATATTTATGTGGGGGGCCTTAGGCCGTTTACAGTTGCTGTTATCTGATTCAAAATACAAATACAGGGCCAAGTTACATATGCTTCTTAGGAAAGATCAGCTGCTTGTACCTGGCTGATCTTCCTTTAACTTTTCTGCCAAACGAATGGGGCTTTCTTCTATTCCTTCCCTTGAGCGTAGCACTGAATTGAGTGCTGGGCTGCCTAAGTCTGTGCATTTGATTTGCTCCTGTTTGTGATCCATTTGACTTTCCCTGAGTGGGACTTGAGAATATGGAGCAAAGATGCAGTTAAAATAATTCTGAAAATGATTGCCAGGCTATTTAGGTGGGGAAATAACAGTTCTGGAGGAGGAAGGTGCCATGCAAAGTAATTCATGTCTCCTGTGCCATGAGTCCTGCACATTCTTTCCAAAATTTCTGGATGTCAGATGTGTGGAAATGGAAGATGCACGTTTCTGTGAAGGGAGTGAAACTGTGCTGGTTCAAAGCCACATCTTAATAGAGATTATACAAAGCCTACTGGTTTTGCGCTTTGTTCCCCCTCTCCCACCTTCCCCATGGGGCTGATATAGCTGGCTATATGCAGCTAATTGTGTGCTTAGAATTGTAAAAAACCTGATCTGGGCTTCTGAATTACTCTTCATTTTGAATCTCTGTTATAGAAATTTGTTATCCTGCATTCCCCCAGGCATTCATTAGATTGAAGAGTTAACCAAAAAAAACAGGTCCTGTGTGACCCATCTAATGTAAGGCTGGTCCCTGAATTGGGAGATTGCAAAAACTTAGTGTATATTACCATACTTATTCAACACCTTATCTCCATTTCTACCAAAATATTAGCAAAAGATTTTTCATTATTGCATATCAAAGTTATTTTTAAGAGTTGCTTTGAGTACAACAATTAAAGTTATTAAAGCCATATTATTTCAGTTTTTCAAATTATAGTCAATTCTTATGCTTGGAACATGTAAGTAGGTATACCAGCTGTTCTCCCTTACAACAAAGCCCAATTTCTCCAAAATTCTCTCTGTATTTAGCGTGTACTGCATTGTCCTTGGTATTTATTCAAGGCAGATATTTGTAGGGCTGCTTTCTCTCTGTGCTATTTTGCACATAGGCTACCTTCAAGTATTTATTTTTATGCCTCAAACAATGATAAGAACACTGAGGTATTTGTGTCTTCGTGAATAAAAACAATCCATGACTTTATTTATTTTCTTTCCACAAGAACTGTGGAATTTGAAATAAAGCATTTATGTCAGGGTAAATAATTGTAATTAGCATAGTTTCAAATTAGTGTGTCTGGATGGAAAGCTGGAAAAATGGGACAGCCTACTTCTTTCGTTCACCCAAATTAGTCATCGCTAAAGTCTTTCTGGAGTTAAGCAAGTTGGAGCAGCATTTATGTCAGGGTGGAATTTTGTTTGCATTCAAATGCTAGGAGCTTGGGCAACAAAAGGGAGGAACTTGAACTACGGGTTCAGGGCATGAAATTGGATGTGTTACAGGAGTAATAGAAATGTGAGGGAATAACAGCCATGATAGAAAGATGTTGAAAGATGCATGCTGCTTAGGATAGATAAAAATAAAGCTGGATTGCTTTATACGTAAGGTGTGTTAGACCTCAGAGAGGTAAGACAACATATAACATGGCTAAAATAGAAGCTGTTTGGGTCAAAATCACCTTGGAGAAGGCTGGTAAAAGAGGTTCAGACTCTTGCCATATCTTTGCAATGGATTCTCAGGGTTTAATTTAGACAGGGACAAAAGATCTCAGAAATGTTGAGAGAGAGAGACTGGGGACAAAATTGTTTTTCACTTTACACCTTCAAAAGGCAGTTACACAGCCGTATGTTTTCAATAAGGGTATAATGCTAGACATAGAGGCAAAGGTAAGATGAAATGGAAGTTACCACAACCCAGGTGGAAGCAAAATGCAAGGAGTGTAATGTGCTTAACTCAGAGGGACCAGTTACTCTCCCTTCCAGAAATTTGTAACAACTGTATATAGAATTGCAGTTACAGTAGCAAATACCATTAATAAATATACCTTTGTTTCATAAGACCCACTGCTTCCCCATCTGACCAGTGTTACTGTTAAGCTTGCAGCTGGAGCAAGCTGTTCACACTCTTCCTATATTCCTGTAGAAGGTGTTGTTCGTCCCTGTCAGGCTTTTGACTACACAGAGGTGTTGAGGTAATGTTAGATTTCAGATTATTGTATAGTACAACACATATTGACTTTAAATTAATCCTCCTGTTGAAAATCTGTCAAGAAGGGTTGAATTAAACAGGAATCAGTGAGAGCTACGTGGTATACACCCAAGAAGGTGCTGGTTGTCTGTCTTGAGGCGGAGAGGGATATGATCGTAGAGGCATGAAAAAAATGCCACATCTACAGGGTAAGGGAGGAAAAAGAGAGGATCAGCACACCCATTACTGGCTGCTTCTGGAGTACTTCTGCAGTTGCTGACTGCACAGAGCATATCAATTTGAGCAGCAGGTCACTTACTGCTGTAGAGGGATAACAAAGATTCATACGGTGTTATATATACAGTTATTACTGTTGCCTTTATATATAAAGTTAGTGCTGTCACCATCAGTGTTAAATTACACATTTGCTGCAACTGCTTTGTCCGCTGCCTCTTACAGCAGCTTTGTCCTACATGGTAGGCTGTAGTCTCCCTGTAAAACCTTTGGACTCCTGGTTTCCATATAGAGATTGTATGTATATGTTCAGTAGCAAGAGGAGAGGATGTTTTTCAGACCCTCCTCCCTTCCCGTCATTGCTGTGTTCATCAGTCTGATATTTTACCTGTTTATACCTAGAAACTGAGGGGATTGGTTTTGCCGCTACAAACCCCTTCACCTTTTCTCTATGGAGCTTATGTTATTCTTCAGGTATTAAGGGATTTGATTTAGTCTTGCATAAAGGTTTCACTCGCACAGACCCATGTTATTAAGTAAACTAAAATTAACAAGTATTTGCATAAGTACTAGAGTCATGTGAGCCCTGATGAGCAAATAAAATATGGAAACTGGTATGTTTTGTGCAAAAATAAGAATGTTGTGTATAAGTTAGAAAATCTTTGAATTTTAATTTCAAAATAGATGTGGATAGAACAGCTCATGAATAGGATAAGAGTCATCAAGTATTTCAAAATGTAATTTGATGTATAAATGACTCTGTTTTTTATAAAGTAGGCAAGCCATACTGTTAACTTTTCCTACTTACATTTCTAGTCTTGGTCATATGGCCTCAATAAAACAATCACGTTCTTTGCATGATGTAATTTCTCCTCTTCTTGCATTCAAAGTTAAACAGGCAAACAAGCCTCTCAGGGAACTTTGTCAGGTGACAGTGGCAGCTGATAAGGAGGTAAAGGACAAATAGTGATAATACAGGGAGGACTGTGAATAAAAGCAAGAGGTCGCTGACTGTTAGTATGAAGTCCCTTGTCCTTTCACAGCATCTGATGAAGTGAACTCCATGAGAGCTTGTGCTCTATATATAGCTTATCTATTTAGTCTGTAAAGTGCATATTGACCCGATGTTCCACTTTTGTTTTTATGGGTTCTTTTCTTCTTTGCCTCTCTCATCACTGTCTCTTTAAAGAAAGAAAATATTTTTCATTGTTTGAGAAATAGGTATGTTGGATGCTGTCAAATCAAATCTGAAGCACCAGTACTTCAGCCAGGAGATGTAGTATATCCAACATCAAGCATAGTTTGTTTTCTAATAATTAGCATATCCTCTTATTTGAGAATAAAGCCAAGATTTACAGGAAGTTGAATGCTACCTAATTGGTCTGGTGTTTTCCATCCCTTAAGATTCTGATCTTGTTTTATTAATAAATCTTTAAGCTTGCACATAAAAATAATTGCAATTGTATTTGAGTGTTATGTTAAGTGATTCTGTCTATAATTCTACAGAGTATAGGTTGAGTTGGTGTTAATGTAGGACTGAAGGTTTGATTTGCACCTGTATCCATTGCTGATGCCTAGTTTTGTGACATTTTCATGATGACTAAGATGTTAATTATAAGTTGGATTTGGAAATCCAGAGGGTCCAATCTATCATTTTACAAATCTTTTATTGTCACAGAAAATAGTTAATGCAGCTGGGCTACTCTGTTAATATCTTTGGACCTCATGAAGTGCACACTTGAATGAGACATGGAGTTTCATGCTAACTTAGTCTGTCAGTGTGTTAAATTTTAATACAATAAATACTCTGATTTGATATGATCTCAGCCTCCTTGGTTTTTTGCAGCATGGTTTCATAACTTGTTACTCTAGGACTCCAAGAAAGGGAAGATGCTATTAGATTTTAGTGCGTAGCAGTAACTCTGCTATACTTTATTTTTTAACAATCATTGAATAAAACCCTGAAGACTAATGCAACTATATTTTCTGATTTTTCTTCTCCTTGGAAGGACTATGTTGTTACAATGGTGTAACTACTCCTTTGTATCATTAATACCTTTGTATCATTAATATGATACAATAGTTTTTTGATGTGTGCACATAAACAGATTTGATGGAAAGGTCCCCTCCATTAGTAATTCAGATCAATAGGGCACAAAACATATCCTTTAAACCAGTGATTCTCAACCTTTTCAGACTTGAGGCA